CTGTATGTTCTAAGGTAAAAATTATTGCACTTAAATAATATTTATAAAAAAGGCATACTTAGTTTTATACAGAATGTTCACTGTTATAACACGAGATCGGAGCAATAATATATCTGGAGAATTCATTTGTAACCATTTCTGGCAAAGGAAACTCGATCTCTGATTCGACGTAATTTTTTAGGCCTGATGCGTAATTAGATATAGATAGCTGGACAATGGACATGTATTTCTGTTTGTCTTATCTGATAGTATTTTGTTTTATTCCAGCATTTTGTAGGAGGAAAAGGACCGAGCAGAGAATATCCTGACCCAGTGCCTGCAGACGGAGCCTGCCCCAAGCCAGTCAGGAAACCACCCCTGAAACGCCCAAGCCAGTACACTCCCTGCATGTCGGATAAAAAGCAGAGGTCATCTCTTGTCGGAGAGAATATTGACATGTGTGTATTTAAAAACTTACACAAATCAAACTAGATGCATTCTTCAAATTCAATAATGGAAAATACATATATACCGTAGGCCTAAATCATAATTGTGGGATAATTATTAATATTTCTGGAAATGTATGTATGCAAATTTATTTTAAATAACTTCAATCAAATTTTAGGTTTCATTGCTATTTCTATGTCTTTCATATCTTTTTTCAGAGTGCCCAGAGTTTTCATTATCCCCTTATTCACTGTAGATGTTTGTTTATTTTCATTATGTAGTGTAGTCTGTTCTCAGAGAGAATATTGACTTGTATACGTTTCACAAATTACACACATCAGAGTAGATTCATTCATGTTTTTTTAATGATGGAAAGATACATGTAAATAATATTCATAATGACAATAAATAATAAACATCATCATAGTCATGTCAAACATTATACATTCGCTTTTTTCAGACTAAACACCAGCAAGCCATCCACCCAGTCGACTGCTTCAGTTCAGATATTGTTACCCAATGACCAAGCAGAAAACAAGTCCACTGACTTCCTGATCAACACATCTACACAGACTGATGAAACATGTATGTATATATGGAGATTCTGTGTTCATTTATTCCTCGGTGGTTGCATTCTTTAGGTAGGATACCGCATGATCTCTGTAAAACATGGCTAGTTTGATTAACATTGACTGCATGAAAGCAATATCTGGAGTTATTCTCTCCACATGCATGTCCAGTTGAGTGAACCCAATAAATTCACAAAACCTGCACCCAGTAACCATCAACTGACCTTGTACTTGTGCGTGAGTGATGGTGAGATCTTTCAAAGAAGTTACACCATTTTCCTTTTTAAGGAAAAAGTCTAAAGCTTCACAAGCATTGTCAATGGTCATGTTGCGTGCTGAGTAGGGACATTTGATCTCAACAATCCCACTTTCACCATTGTCACAAATCTTGCCATCAGGTGTTGCTCCCAAAAATGAAAACTCATTGTTTACAACAAACCCGCATTCATGAAAATGTCTGTCTGGATATTTCTGATGGTACCTTGCCTTAGCATCTTTTTCATGTTTCTTCCCATATTCTAGTGATTGTGCTTTTATATTTTTCTAGTGAAAATAGAGTTCAAGAAGCCATGATTTGGTCTTTTTTTCTGGACAAAACCTTTCCAAAACTTGATGCAGTTAGACGCTTCCTCTGCTTCATCAAACCAGAGTTCATTTGACTGACTCTGTGTTTTCATTTCAAGAGATTTGGGATCCTTACAGATTGTATCTTCATCATTTAGATGAGCAAATTCCTGGGTTAGCTTCACTGGTGGTGGCAAGATAACACTGGTGTTCCCACATATGTGTGAAGTTGGTGTTGCATTCTTGATGTGTTTGATCTGAAATTATAAATAAATCATTCAAATATTTTGTCGTTTCAGGGATATCAGCAATGGACATACTAGCTCTGGCAGCAGAGAAACATGATTTGGAGCAACAATTACAAGACAAGTCAAGAGAAATAAGAGAGTTGAACATCAAAGTGGCATCACATGAGAAGACAATTCAGGAATTACAGAGAGAGCTTCAACAATCATCATTATTTTCCATAGATGTTGTGATCACCAGGGGTAAAAAAATCAAAAACTTATTCAAACACTATACAGGTGTTACATTTGTGAGATTTCTCACACTACTAACATTTCTGCTACCCCAAGGAGAGGACATTGATTATTCATCAGGGAGAAAAGACATCAAGAGACTTAAACCTCAGGATGCATTATTGCTTACTCTCTGTCGGTTAAGGCATGGGTTTGGACTTAAAGACATTGCAGTTCGCTTTGGGCTAAGTCCTCAGTCAGCAGGTATCATTTTCAACACATGGCTTGATCTGTTATATTTCAAGCTAGGGCAGATTCCAATATGGCCACATAGGGATGATATAATACAACATATGCCTGTAAAATACCGTAGAGACTATCCAACAACATTAATTATCATTGATGGGACAGAAGTCAAAACACAGACCCCATGTGCTGTAAGTTTGCAAAGTCAAGTCTACAGTGATTACAAGTCCTCTTCTACTCTTATGGGTTTGATTGGATGTGATCCAAATGGAAGCTTAATGTTTGTTTCAGAACTATTTACTGGTTCAATATCTGATAAAGCAATCACTGAACAGTCTGGGTTTTATGATGTCATTAAGTCAATGAAAGAAATTGGACACATTAATGAAGGTGATGGCATCATGGTTGACAAAGGTTTTTCTATCAAGAATGAAGTTGAAAACTAGGTTTGAAACTGAATATACCTCTAAAAGGAAAGACAGGAAAACAATTCAACATGGGAGAAAATTCATGTACAGAAAAAGTGGCAAAGCACAGAGTTCACATTGAGAGACTTATTAACAAGGTGAAACAATATAAATTATTGTCAAATTGTGTTCCAACATCTCTATTCTCAAGGATAAACAAGATTTGGTCTGTTTGTTGCCACCTGACATTATTTCAGGATGTTTTTGTTAAGTACTGGTGCATATCTAAGTTGTTCAATGAGGTCAAGCTACTACTGTATACAACAACTCGTAATAAAACAAACTTTCAAACTCTTCTGAAATGTTTTAAGTTAGTTGCACCTCTTTGACATAGATATGTAGATATATACCTGATAAGATAGTGCAGATCCAATTGGCACATCTCCCATAGGAGTTTGCACCGAAGGCAAATCATGTTGTGCTGTTCTATGCAGGAGTGGTGTGCCCTGTAGAGTTTGAAGACTTGCCATATCAACCCTTGGTAGCCTGAAATACACAGATATACATACAGATCATATACAAAATATCATCTTACAGTTGTTTGTAACATGAATTACACATCATTAAAAATGCAGATTTTCTATCATGAATAGAGAATTCCTTCATTCTGATACATAAGGGCAGTTATCATTCATTCTTAACTTGTAATCAAGTAAAAATGTACATATGTTACATGGATATCTTGAATTATCAATTTTAGCAAAATGTCTGATGAAATAAGAATATAACTATACATGTACTTGTAATTCATGTTGGTGTGGCATTGTATTGGCTTCCGCTTGCGTTGCTCAGTTGGTCTAGCAACCACAACCTGGCTGATAGGCACTGGCAAGATTTTGTCTCCCCTTGGCTTGTTCCATTGTTGTGGCATGGATGTGGAACTCAAATCAGATGGAATTTCTTTGAAGTTGTGGAGCTCGAATCCCTGCAATGTCTTGATTAGACCTATCATATGGGAACACTTTCCACTTAATCTGAAAGAGAAATAGCAAAGATCAAATTTATTTAGCAGATTATGAGTAGATTTTATAGTTTACCTTGTTTACTTGATACTCAGTAGACTGGTTCTAATAAATAATGCCATGACCATACAAATGTGCCTTCTAACCTAATATTTAAGATTTTCTTCAAGCATGGATTTATTGGGAAAATGCTGGACCAAAAAATTGTGGTATATTTGCATTAATTCACTTTGAGAAATTTATTTTTAGAAATGACTAAAACTTCATAAACAACAAATTTGATTTAGGGCCTCTCACAATAATTAAAACCAAACAGTATTTTGACATTGACGAGCCTGGCCTCTACGTTCTAGACCCTTTCAAGATTGGCTGTACTATGCATCACAATAAATTAAAATCGTACGCACACAGTTTTGTAACAGGTATAAAATCATCTGCGAAAATAGCAACTTACCCAGCTTTACAAGAGCAATAAGCATATTTGATTCGGTCGACATCAAGGTCAAGTGACAGTCGATGAGGCGAGTTGTTTTTCCTGAGTGATGGCCAACACTTGGCGGATACGGTCGGGAACTGAAGTGTCACCTCATAAATGTAGCCTTGCTGGTAATAATTAAGTCCCTTTTGCATGCTCTTAGTCGATATTTGATCAGCAATCGGTAAAAAGGACACAGAAAAGTTTTCAGGAATGCATGCGAGACAATTGCTTTGCTCGGCGGCGGCCATTTTGTTAGAAAGCATGGGGTGCCTCGCGACAGTATCCAAGGGGGCGGGGCTTAGCGAAGATGCCCGGATCCATGAATAGTGCCAAGTAGTCTAGTTATATGCTGGGCTACCTCGAGCTGTGTTTCCTTGTTAATCAAGGATTTGGCATTAACTTGTTTTCGTAATTACTCCCATAAATTTACATCCATGCACTTGGTGTTTTTAGCTGTAGTGTTGCTATTCATATTTAGATAAAATGTTGTGCATATCTCCTGTAATACTGACTGACTGACTGAGTTTAGTTTTACGCCGCTTTTAGCAATATTCCAGCAATATCACGGCGGGGGACACCAGAAATGGGCTTCACACATTGTGCCCATGTGGGGAATCGAACCCGGTCTTCGGCGTGACGGGCCAACGCTTTAACCACTAGGCTACCCCACCGCCCCTCTCCTGTAATATCATTCTCAGCTATTATTTGAATGTACCCTTTAAAAAATCAGTTATGTTGCATTATACCAACAACGAATACAAGCTTTTTGTAGTCTAGTCATTTTTTTATACCATGTTCATGTTCTTCATGTATTTTCTATGTATTTACAGCTGAAAGGGCTTTGGACACGATGAACTTTGATACTATCAAGGTAGACCAATCAGAATAATGTTGTCTCGAAGTGACCCTTCCTTGAGAAAGTCTGGGGTGGGCAATGTGTTCATCAAGAATTTGGACAAGAGCATTGACAACAAGGCTCTATACGATACTTTCTCAGCTTTTGGGAACATCCTGTCTTGTAAGGTATGTTAGACAAGATTATGTTGATCTTGACATTGGATTTTTGGGTAGTGGCAATTGACAAGGAATTTAATTGAATTTAATTTTGGTAGATTCAATGAAATTCTCTGTTGTGAAAGATACACTGGTGTATTGAGTCTTAATGAAATAAGTTTTTCCTCTATTATACAAGGTGATATGCTTAGTGTGCCAATTGTTTGTGGACTTAATGCAAAATGAATTATAATCAGTGTTTTGAATTTACTACGAGAAATAGCCATTATGAACATGCTTCTACTGCTATCTTTTCCGGTAAGAGTTCCTCCCGTTCCCCATCCCAAATAATATTTATAAATATACTGAAATTATTAAAAAAACTTAACATAACAATTACAGGAGAACTCATAAAGTGACTAAAAAGTTAGGGTTAGGTTTAGAGTTAGGTTTAGGGTTGGGTGAACGGAAGGAACTCTTTCCTCTTTTTCTTCGAGATATGACATGACTGTCTATATCGCATTGTCCTAGCGGGTCCTTTGTCATTTTTTTGTATAGTGTCCTTGGTGTATTGTTTCACACCTGATGCACACAACTAATCTACATTTGATTTCGATCGGTGCAAGCCTGACTTAACCACTAGACCAAGGCTATTGTCAAGTTAATTTTGTGTAGTAAGCTCAATTGTAAGTCTAAAAAGTACAAATTTTTCCTTATCCTGACTCATGCTCTTTTGCTTGTCTTCTTCTTCTTGCGAACATAGTGGAACACTTGTATCTCCTTAATTGAAGCTCCCTTCAATGTAAAATCACTAATTAGTACTCACCACGAGTTGCCTCCCTTTGCCTTCGCTCGGGAAAAGGTGGCGCCACCCTCTGGCCTCATGCTTCACTCTCTCCTTCTTCGCCCAGTGAGCAGGATGTGAGAGCGCCTGTGTCTCCTTACACACTATATCCTTTGGTTTTTCTTAGTTAGTTACCTCCTATAGGTTACTATAGAGGTATAGCTAGTATCCTTCATTAATATGTATTGATAATTAATCGTATTTCTACTGTTTATTCACGTGAGTTCGTGATTGTTCAGCTAGTATTACGCTGATGAAAATCTGTACTATTTGTAGATTACGCTTTTCTGCTGCTGACCCGCATGTAATATGCCCTAGTTGTTCTAATGCCTTTGTGCGTTTGATTCACGCTGCAGTTACTGCATTAATCTATCTAATTCTGCTTTTAATAAATATCATCTTTATGCCTTGAGACGTGCAGCAGATAGGTCACGCAAACAAGGGTTAGACATGGCCGATACTTCGAATCCCCATCCAGTCAGCTGCTGTTGGTCGACCCCTCCCGCCTGGTGTTCCGCTAGAGCGCCCCTCGAGGAGGGCGTGGGATGCAGTCCGCCCGCCTTCCAAGAAGCGCCCTGCCTCACCAGACATCCCGGCCATCGCAGCCAAAGTCTAAGAGGGCCTCGACGCCTACTCAATGCAGACTCCGTACCCCCAGGGCAGCGTCTACCTCCAAGGGAAAGTCTACGAAGTCGTCAAGAACTTTCTCAGCCGAGATCGTTCCAGCCTCTGAACTGGGCCTCTACGATGATCAGCCGATCATCATCCCCGACCTACGCCACAAGAAGCGACCGGTGACAGCTACAGTGACGTCAGCAGAGATCGCCATGCAGCCTGATGTGTCTACACCGATGTCGGACGATCTCCCTGAGGGCCCCGCCGCTAACATCGCAGAGAGGGCACCCACTACTTCGTCGCAGACCGTCCCAGATGAACTGATGCGGAAAATCATGGCCATGATGGAAGACCACTACAGACTGGAGAAGCAGCCAGCCCAGGGCCTGAGCCTTCGCGAAGGCTCCAACGCAGACGACACCCCAGAGGGACCCCCCGTCAACGTAGCGGCCACGACGAAGCCACCTTCGCGAAGGAAGTCACAGACCACCTCGACGAAGGACCCAGATGTACAGCCTTCGCGAAGGCGGGATAGATCATCACCTTCCTCGGCTTCATCCTTAGATGCGGACTCAGACCACCAGACTTCACGAAAGCCTTCGCGAAGGTCAAGTCGCCGTTCCCCAGGACCGAATGCAGAGGAAGGGGACCTGGCTCCATATCATCGTCGTCCAGAAGGACATCGAGGGACTCCACAAGAGCTTCGCGAAGCTATCAACATTCACCTCACAGGTCTCCGAGAAGGTCAACCCATAGACGCAAATCACCAAAACGATCACCTCGCCGTTCACCGCGCCGATCTCCTCGTTCATCACCACGTCGATCTCCTCGCAGGTCACCACACAAGTCTGCACAGAAGTCTACAGTCAGGTCTCCCCTAACGTCACCCGGCACAGTGGTAGAAGCACACAGTCCACCATCTGAAGAGCATCAACCTCTCATCAGCTTAATTCTGGGGTAGAAGATGATGGAGGCATCATTTTCTCAGACGCTGAGATAATGATATATTGGATGGTAAACAACCTAGACCTTTCTTCACCTTCCAAGAGTGGCAACTCGGCGCAGACCTACCTGATGAAGGAAGACGATGCAGACGCCGCCACCTTACCTCCGATCGAATTCGATTGCCGCGTGCCACAGAATCTAGATACAGCCTTCCATAAAGCCAATGCGAAAGTTCAGACGCCACACCTACCGAACTTTCACGCTAAGAAGAAGTTCTCAACTCATAACATGGACCCCTTCTTCAAGGCACAAGACATCGATGACAACTACAAGCTGATCAGTGATGTCAAGAACAAGAACTACAAGATTGACGATCGCAAGCTGGTGCAGATAGAAACCATGACGAGACGCATGTTCTTTGGCCTTAATAGATCTAGAACGATCAATGAGACACTTATCACCAGATTTCGTGACACGACTTCTGAAGATGATAGGATGATCTACTCGGCCCTACTGATGCAAAAGAAGGACCAGCAGTTCCTAACGGATCATCTCACATCAGTCTCAGCAGCGCTAACCTTAGCTCGTCGTCAAGGCCTCCTCGCTTCCTGCAGCTGGGGTGAGAACTTTACAGCTCCACTCTATACACCCCCGTGGTCCTCCCCATCCATCTTTGACGGAGGAATTGAGAAAGTCTCCAAGGAAGTCACTAAGGATTCCAGAGAAGTCCTTATGATTAAGTCGATGGACACGCTAGCCAGCGTCATCAGGCAGACTTCACAAAGATATTCAGGGAGATCTAAATTCACTGGATTACAGAGAGCACGGGATAGGAAGATGGCCAGCTCCAGGGGAAAAGATTCTTTTCATCGCCCATATGGCAACTATAGAGGAGGATCAGGAAGAGGCAGGGCACCCAGAGGTTCCCGCAACTATAAACGCTGAAAGACAGGTTCGGAACGACTGGAGTCTTCCACCCCCAGCCGTTCCAGTACAGCCGTCACAAGTGGGTGGACGCCTTCAACTACACTGGCAGAACTGGGGAATGTTACAAGACCCTTATGTCTCCAACATTCTTCAACACGGATTTCGTATCCCACTACAGGCCACGCCTCCGCTGGCAGTCAACCCTCACAAGTTCGACTTCCAGGCACAACAACTACCAAAGTTAAGAGAGGCTGTTACATCGCTCTTAACCAAGCAGGCCATAGAAGTACTAGATCAAGTAAACATCGGACCAGGCTTCTACTCCCCAGTTTTCCTAGTACCCAAGAAAAACTCCAAGGAGAAATACAGACTCATTTACAACATGAGCATATTCAACAGAAATTATCTACGCAAACCGCCAAAGTTTCGCGATGATACATCTACCTCAGTTACGGCAGTTGATTCGTCCCATGGATTACATGGCCAGTATAGATCTGCAAGACGCATATCTTCACATCCCGATACATCCCGAATCCAGGAAATACCTACGATTTAGACTAGACGGGCTGCATTACCAATGGAAAGTACTCCCATTCGAATATCATCAGCCCCTGGCTATTCAATTTCAGGATAACGAAACCTATTGTCACCTATCTACATCGCCTAGGGCTACGCGAGCGCTCTACCTCGACGACGGGATACAAGTAGATCAAGATCCACAGCGTCTCAAACTACAGTTAAACTACATCATAAAGCTACTAACACAGCTAGGATGGTTAGTAAACTTACTCAAGTCGGACCTAGTACCATCGCAAGATCTGCAATTCCTAGGCATTCGATTTATCACGACTCTCAACCGTATCGTCGTACCAGAAGACCGTTGGCTCAAGATCCAACAGACCATTCCGCCAGCTCTACTCTCTCCGTTACCACTACGACATTGGCAGAGCCTGTTGGGTCTCCTCACGTCAGCCCAAGACATGACAGTCAGAGGCAGAATACAGTTACGTCCGTTACAGGTCTTCATCAATGCACATCTCAACGACCTACAACCATTCAGTCTACCGAAACACCTCAGACCTCATCTACTATGGTGGACCAGGAGGTCGAATGTCTGCGAAGGTATTTGTTTAACAGAGCAGGAATTCAAAACCCATCTATATGTAGACGCGTCGCTCCAGGGTTGGGGAGCTCATCTCGCCAACCGGACGGCATCAGGGTTATGGAATCAGCAAGAAAGCAAGCTCCATATAAACATGTTAGAGATGAAAGCGGTAATCAACGCCATACTTCATTGGAGCACCATTCTACAAAATGCGCATCTGATGATTCATACCGACAACTCGACAGTGGCGTTTTATGTGAACAAACAAGGCTCAACGAGATCACTGAACCTATTGACTTTAAGCTTTCAACTGTTCGATCTAATCCACGATCTCAACTTACATGTCAGAGCATGTCACATTCCCGGAGCCAAGAATGTACTAGCAGACGCACTCTCTCGGCCACATCAACCGTCACCGACAGAATGGATGCTCAACACAGAAATCTTTGCACAGATTATCAAGCAAATAGGAGCTCCGCTAATAGATCTATTCGCCACACGCTTCAACAATCAGCTACCAACATTCGTGTCACCAGTCCCGGACCCACAAGCATGGGCAACGGACGCTCTAAGCATATCCTGGGAAGGCCTCAATGCGTACGCGTTTCCGCCGCCAGCAATAATCCCTCAAGTGTTACAGAAAATCAGACAAACACAGAGCCTCCAACTCACTTTCGTCGCGCCCTACTGGCCAGCCAGAACGTGGTTTTCCATTCTAATTCAAGAACTCGGTCAACCAACACTAGAGCTACCAAAGCTCTCGAATCTATTAGTTCATCCACACACCAAACAGGTGCACGGAAGCCCAGGAGTATTCCAACTTCACGTATGGACTGTATTAAAATGTGTTTAAACAAGAGAGGATATTCAACCAGAGCGGCAAAAGCAGTCACGCTTGCTTTACGCTATTCTACACGTAACTTGTACGACGACAAGTGGCACAGTTTCGAAAGTTACGCAGCAAATAAGGGATTTACAGCGAGAGTTGCTACTCATCCACAAGTGGCAGATTATTTGTGTTACCTACGTCAAAACAAACATTTAAAAGGCTCGACATTGTCAACATATCTTGCCGCTCTTAGTTCTGTGATAACTATGAGAACGGGTGTCAAGTTAACCAAGACTCCAGAGTTACTGGCCTTACTACGTGCTTTCCTATTGGAGGATCAAAAGCGGAAGTTCCACGCCCCAGCTTGGGATCTGAATATAGTGCTCCAACACCTCACAAGTGAGGCTTATGAACCGTTGGAATCGACAACCTTTGAATTTCTCTGACAGAAAAACGCTTTTCCTGTTATCTCTAGCCACGGCAGCCAGGATGTCAGAAATTCACGACTAGATTATGAGAGGATACAGTTTGATGACAATCAAAACACAGCGCACCTGGGATTAAGATGGGATTTCATCGCCAAAAATCAATTGCCAGGTCAACCAGACAGGTTATTCCATATTCCTGCACTCTCCTCGATTCTCGGATCTCAGGATACACTGGACTTATCTCTATGCCCAGTCAGAGCTCTCAAAGTCTATTTACGACGTTCCAAAACAAGGCGAAGATTTCTCAAACGATTATTCATCCCCTTATCGGCAACAACTCAGACAGAAGTCTCTCGTACCACCATATCTATATGGATAAGAACTGTCATACTTCGCGCCTACAAGGCAGCAGGACTGGACCCTCCAACAGCATCAAATCCCCATGAGATCAGGGCATTGGCTTCCACACTCGCTCTACACGGTAACTGTTCATTGAATACAATTATGGAAGGATGCTTTTGGAAATCTAACATGGTGTTTGCTAATCACTATCTGAGAGATATCACCACCGAGGACGTCTCAGGTATTCACCATTTCGGTCCCTTGGTCCTCGCACAGCAGTTGACAGTCCCTCGTAGACGTTAACACATAGTCTTACGAGATTATTATGTATATTTCATACCTGTATTATCTAGCTTATAACTCTACGGAGTTCTAGGGCTATGTATATACTTAGCTTAAGTCTACTCAGCTTTAAGCTTATACTGATGATTATGTTCAGTTGTATAGCTTCTCCTTATCAGAGTCGCTTTTATATCTTTATTTGTTAATATCATAGTATATTATTATTGTAATACCCCATTTATGGCAATATATATAAACTTATGGTTTATAGTAGAGGAAATATCCTAAGTCAGTGCCTTTATGAAGTTCCCGTTAGGGGGTTATTACAGCTATATCTATATAAATCACTAATTTTATAAATCCAAAGTATTCTGTTCTTTCCCACCTCCGTTTCCGTAGGATTCTACAAGCAAAAGAGCATGAGTCAGGATAAGGAAAAATATGTAATTTTTAGAGTAAAATTGATATTTTATACTTATCCTGACTCATGAGGTAAGCCCTCCCATCCTCCCCACATAGCACTTTGGATTTCCCTGTAAATTCAAGTGTTGGGCTCGCAAAATCAGGAGAGAGTGAAGCATGAGGCCAGAGGGTGGCGCCACCTTTTCCCGCCCGAAGGCAAAGGGAGGCAACTCGTGGTGAGTACTAATTAGTGATTTTACATTGAAGGGAGCTTCAATTAAGGAGATACAAGTGTTCCACTATGTTCGCAAGAAGAAGAAGACAAGCAAAAGAGCATGATTCAGGATAAGTATAAAATATCAATTTTACTCTAAAAATTACATTTATCTGATTTCCAACAATTCTTTATAGTCATTACTACTGACATTCCTTTAGTCTGTAGATTTTAAGTAAGGGCCCCAAATTTTGCTTTTGCAGATAGCTTCCGATGAAAATGGCTCAAAGGGTTATGGCTTTGTCTATTTTGAGACTGAAGAAGCAGCCAGACAGGCCATTGAGAAAGTTAATGGCATGTTGCTCAACGGCAAGAAAGTGTAAGTTTGTCTTAAACATAAACTGTCTTAACACAGGACAAATGTGTCATGGCCGGCTTTTGTTGCAAAAGTTACATGAAACAGTGAGGTGAATGAATGCAATCCTCTTTATGGATAGTACTTGCAACATTGGACATCTCTATGGACGACCATCCTTGAGAAATGCTTATGCAGGTTAATCTGGTTGTATTTGCCACTCAGTGTCAAATTATCGAATGGCTTGTGAGACAAGGTCACCCAGTCCTATGGTTTTCTTTTTAAAGGAATGTTCTGTTTTTAGGTATTTTTGGCCATTATCAAATCCTTGGTGTACCTTGACAGTCTGTTACATTTTTCCTTATCCTGACTCATGCTTAATTGCTTGTCTTCTTCTTGCTAACTATAGTGGAACACTTGAATCCCCTTTTGAAGCTCCCTTAAAAAAAGTGGACGTAAAATCACTCACCCCAGTAGTAGGGCTTCAACGAGTCCATTTTTTTGGACTCGAGTACTCGAGGGGTGAGACTCGACTCGGACCCGAGTACTCGAAATTCATACCTTTCAAGCAAACGATCAATTGTCAAGATAGTTACCTAATCATTTTAAGAAGTGAAATCTCAATCGATGTATAATATTTACTCTCATCTGCAGACTTGTAACAACTCATACCATACAGCCACACCGTGTGAGGAGTAAACTATTTAATCTAGGTGTTAATAAAAACATTATCAGATGGGTTAAAGAATTCATGGTACATAGAACTCAATATGTCAGTGTCAATGGCTATCAATCTTCTTTTCTCTCAACCTCTACTGGAGATCCACATGGCTGTGTTCCTTCATCCGTACTCTTCGTTTTGTATACCAATGACTGTTACTTGTCAATATATGACTTGTTTACTGTGAAATTTGCAGATGACGCCACTGTTACTGGCCTAATTTCTGATTCTGAACATTATTATCGTCAAGGCATTGACAAAACCGTAATGACAGTTTTTCATCAAACCTTTATTCAAACTGTGTTGACCTACAATTTTGTATCTTGGTATGTGGATCTGTCTCATCTTAACAAAAACAGACTTTTCAAAATTGTTAATACTGCTTGCAAAATTTCTGGAGTGTATTTCGAGTATAGTCAAAAGACAGCTAAAATTAGATTTGATAGTTGACATATTTGATCTCACCATTTTGAACTACATGTACTTCCTTCTGGACGCTGCTGTCGATTACCTTCCCTCAAAACAGAGCTTGACAGTCTTTCATACCATCAAGTATTCGTGAATGCAACAAATATTTTGAATCACCATCATGTGATTAGAACTAGAATTATTCAGCCTCTATACCTATGTGGTTAACTGAATTATATCATGTCAGTTTTATTTGTAAATAGCATTCGTTTTGAGCATGTAATTGTTGTGTATATTTTTGTGAACTGTGTATATATTTATTTTGAGACAGTTTGGATGTATGAGAATTTCCTCCGGGATAATAAAGTTATATCTTTTTCTTAATATTAGACGTTAACGGCCGCTCATGCTTAGCACATGGCAGACAGTCCGTCAACGTCAATAATTCGAGTTATCTCCCCTTTTCGAGTCCTCGAGTCCTTGAAAATGGACTCGAGTCCAGCTAAACCCGACTCGTCCTCGAGTACTCGAGTACCCGTGGAAGCCCTACCCAGTAGTCTCCCTTTCCCCCATCTTTTGGCGCGAAAAGTTGGTCACATGATCAGCCATGCTTGTCACTCTCTCCTTCTTCGCCCTAGTGGACGATTGTAAGAGCGCCTGGGTCCCCTATACGGCTTTTATACTAAATTAGGCTGTATAAGGGCTTTAGCAAGGATTTACCAGCAATATGGTTTGAAATTTATTCTAAATTTGTCCGTTTTTCACGTTGTTGACAACATGTTTACATTTCTTGCAGGTTTTGGTTGTCAGCTGCTGATCCACATTCTTTATGTCCTAACTGCACTTCTATATGTTCTTCCAGCCTCCGCTGTAAACTTTGTCAGCATTTATCTCAAATTGAATTTTGTAATTATTTATATTCTATTCATAGACGTGCCAAGGACAAGTTGAGGCAGCAATTACAAGTCATGTCTCAACAGGGTGAATGCGTTAATAACCTAATAATCTAACGACGATTTTGACAAGTTCACCCTTCCATCCTGTCTTGAATGTACCAGACAACTCAGTACAGCCTTCAAGAAGGCAACGAAGTACCAGAGTCAAAGTATACCACTTTTCAACGCTAAGAAGTTCTCTTCACCATATGGAACCCTTCATGAAGGCCCCAGAGATAGACGAGAACTACAAAATTATCAACGACTTCCATTGCAGGGAGCTGGCTCTTGTGAGGAAGGGGATAGCTTAACAATTATCACTGTCGTAGCATTGGCATTGTTGCAGTCTTCAGCGTAATATCGTTTTTTCCGATCATCGTAGTGAAGTATCAACTCTACAATAACTCTTGTGTATTCAACACAATCGGTTATTTTAAGGCGCTTCATTGAGACTGATGACTACAGTCTACAAGTATCAACGTTAAGCAAGTATGGAACTTCAGCTGATCATCTGTTTAAAATGACAACTGCATTATCTTCAGTGAAGAAGAGAAAAGTCACAACAGCCAGGGAAACAGTCTACCTACATCGGTATTACGCGGCGAAATCTTTCGCGCGTTTTCCACTCAGCCTGTTATACACATGTTCATTAGTGTATTCCAGGAAGTTGCGGACAAGGCGAGTGTTGATGAGAGAAATCAGCGACTGCACAAGATTTTACAAGGATCTTTTCCTGCAACACCGGTGATGTCACGTCTTGGGAATCTGACATGAATCAAATGCTGCAATCTGATTGGTCCATGAGAGACAACGCCCTGTGCAGAAGTCAGGCACAGCTCACGTGTCAGGAAGTTATCTACAATCGTAAACAACTTTTCAACATGGGAGGAAGGCTCCATTTACAGTCCAGTTAGCAGGGTACAGCGTGATTCGACTGTCTTCACGGGTCATAAGGACCTTCCCTGTCAGCAGTTTGAAGATTGGTAATCTGACGAATTGCAGCAACATACTTTTGACGATTTCTGCTCGAGGCAGCCAGTCTACTATAATTAGACTTCAGAGTACATCTAGAGACGATGAATTATGCAGCATCACTGCACTTGTGGTGATTCTGATGACAAGTCCTTTTGACATATTATCGGAAGATTGAAGAAATAAACTTCAAGTCATGATGCCAGAACCGGACTCGCAGAGGAGGTCTACAATTGCACACACTACAAGTGTTTGTGAACGCCCATCTCAACCGTCTGTTCTCCTTAGGACTACTGGACGGATTGAAACCATATCTTCTATGGTGGACTAGGAAGTCGAATATTTGTGGAGGATCCTACTTATCAGAGCAACACTCATCTCTACGTAGATGCATCACTTCAAGGCTGGGAAGTTCACCTTGACAACGAAGTGGCAGCAGGGAAATGGTTGAATCAGGAGCAGAGTCTGCACAACAACATGCTCAAGATGGAAGCAGTAATAAACGCCTTACTACACTGGTCCAGCATACTAAGGAACGCACAACTGATGATCCATACGGACAACTCCACAGTGGCGTTCTACATCAACAAACAAGGGTCAACAAGATCAAAGAATATGTTAGACCTCAGCCTTCATCTATTCAGCATAGAAGACAACCTGAACATCGACATAAAAGCATCGCACATTCCCGAAGCCAGAAATGTGATAGCAGACGCCCTATACTGTCCAATGAATCCATTACCTACGGAGTGGATGTTATATCCAGAGGCGTTCAGAGACATCATTCAGACAGTAGGATCCCCACTGGTACACTTGTTTGCAACCAAGTTCAACAAACAGCTACCAACATTCGTCTCTCCGTTTCCAGATCCACAAGCATGGGCAACAGATGCTCTAAGCATATCTTGGGTAGGACTAAACGCTTACGCGTTCCCTCCTCCAGCGTTAATACCGAAGGTATTACAGGGTGAGGTGAGGTGAAATTGGGTTTAACGTCGTGCTTGAGAATATTTCGCTCATATGACAACGTGCATGTGTGTGTATGTGTATGTGCGGCTGCTTGTACTAGATCAGACTTAGGGTGGTTTTATAGTGCTAGCCCACTGAGATACCATACCGCAGTGAAGCATGAATACCCCACTCAGACACATTATACTGACTCCGAGCCGACCAGTCCTTGTTGTACCCATTAATGCCGAACGCCAGGCAGGGACCAACAAGTACCATATTTTAACGTCTTTTGGTATGACGCGGTCGGGGATCGAACCAGCGACCTTCCGCTCTCCGGGCGGACGCTCTAACCACTACACCACGCAGGCGGTCGGTATTACAGGGAATCAAGGTGACAAACAAGTTACAACTGATTATGGTCACGCCCTATTGGCCAGCGAGAGTGCAGTTTCCCAACCTTATACAAGATCTAGGAAAGCCAATCCTACAACTTCTAAGTAGCTAAATCTACTGATTCATCCACACACCAAGCAAGCACACTGAAATCCAACAATGTTTCAGCTACACACATGGAGCATATCACGACTTGCTTGAAGAAAAGAGGATATTCCACCAGAGCGGCCAAAGCAGCAACTTTAGCCTTATGTAGATCAACCCGTAACTATGATGACAAAATTGAGAAATATGCACGGAATAAAGGCTTCACTGCGATGGAAGCAACACATCCTCAAGTGGCGGAATATCTTTGTCATCTTAGACAGACAAAACAATTGAAGGGATCTACACTCTCTACATACCTAGCGGCCTTGAGCACAGTTATCACGATGGAATTGGGTATAAAACTGATCAAAGTACCAGAGATACTGGCACTACTACGCTCATTCAAGTTGGAAGACCAACAAAGGAAATTCAAGGCGCCCGCTTGGGATCTCATTGTGGTTTTACAGCATCTTACCAGTGAAGATTATGAACCACTAGAAAGGACATCATATGAGAAATTAACTCATAAAACCCTGTTCCTCATAGCCCTAGCAACAGCGGCAAGGATGTCAGAAATTCATGCTCTAGACTTCGGAAGAACAAGATTTGACACGCATCGTGACACAGTGCATCTGGGACTAAGATGGGATTATAGCAAACAATCAACTGCCCGGTCAACCAGTCAGACAATTCCACATCCCAGCACTTTCGTCGATATTAGGACCACAGGATACGCAAGATCGATCCTTATGTCCAGTCAGAGCATTGAAAATATATCTACAGAGGTCTGAATTGAGGAGACGAAAATTCAAGCGCCTTTTCATCCCTCTATCCACGGAGACACCTACAGAAGTCTCACGTACAACTATATCAATATGGATGAGAGCCGTCATATTGAAAGCCTATAAAGCAGCAGGACTTGATCCTCCACGAGCCTCCAATCCTCATGAAGTCAGAGCACTGGCATCCACACTAGCTCTGCATGGAAACTGCTCCATCTCAACAATAATGGAGGGCTGCTTTTGGAGATCGGAGACAGTGTTTGCCAACCACTACCTCAGAGACATGGCTACAGAGGATGTCTCCGGCATCCACCAGTTTGGGCCCCTTGTTGTAGCACAACAATTGACGGTACCTCAAAGGCGCTGAGATAAATCTCACCCCTTTGTCACGTGACTTGTAAAAGCCAACACTCAACAGAGTTACGGTTTTAAAGTCCATGCGCACGTCTAGGACAGGCTAGCATGAGTGATGGACCCTGTACTTGTAAGGACTTACTTGTACACGAAGTAGGGTCACTTCTCCACTTGATGCAAGCATCAATAGATGGAGTTGCATAAATCCACACAGAATGTCAGGAGAAGATATTCCAGGATAAATCTGACAAGTTGTGGTCCCCCTACTCATCAGAAGAAGCTGGAAGAAAGGACAAATGCCATTAGAAGTTCCCAAGGGGGTATAAGGACATAAATCAGCAGAGAATCCAGAGTGGCTTGACACACCACCGTTTCCGTCGGATTCTACAAGCAATTAAGCATGAGTCAGGATAAGGAAAAATATGTAATTTTCTGATTAAAATTGATATTTTATACTTATCCTGACTCATGAGGTTAGACCTCCCAACCTCCCCTCATGGCACTCTGGATTTCCCTGCAAATCCAAGTGTCGGGCTCGAACATACGGAGAGAGTGACAAGCATGGCCGATCATGTGACCAACTTTTCGTGCCAAAAGATGGGGGAAAGGGAGACTACTGGGGTGAGTGATTTTATGTCCACTTTTTTGAAGGGAGCTTCAAAAGGGGATTCAAGTGTTCCAGCAAGAAGAAGAAGACAAGCAATTAAGCATGACTCAGGATAAGTATAAAATATCAATTTTAATCAGAAAATTACATTTTCCTGACATATGCAACTGTATGTTAGGAATCATAACTGCATCAAATTGTGTACATCTGTTAAAGGTCACATGCAACGTAAAACACAACTTTGCAGATTCTGATATCTTTCGGTATGGACTTACCGAAACAAATCATCAAAAATGCAAATTCAACTTATAAAGTTGAAAAATAACGCAATGAAAAAAAACGCGCGAAATCTTAGTTCAAACGATTCACTAAATTTCCCCCAGCGTTTGGGGGGAATTCAAGTGGTTCCAACAGCTGGGCTGCGCTCATAGCACGTGCGCGAGTGACATAGGTTCGCGCAACTTGGAAGCGGGTTGTCAGGTGAATACTCGGTGAAGGCTTTGGTGTGAGCTATTTTGCTAATGTTTCGTTGATATCTCACTGGCGCGAGCTTTTGATATGTTATGACAGTAAATTAACTGTTTATGTAATTTCATTTGTCTATTTCACCACACGTTCTTCTTACCGAGTCACTTTCTCAGTTCGATACTTAAAAGCAATGTCATTATTTAGTGTTGACAGAATTTCTAACTGTGATATAGATATGTTGTTGTCACAGACAAAACTCAATGTCTTGTTTTATTGACACCTGTGTGTGTGCCTGCCTGTCTGCTAATGACAATATTCAATACACAACTGCGATCACTGACCACATGCAATTTGAACTTAACACCTATCAGGCTATACACCATAAACAAAATGCATTGATTTATGGCCCGAGTTCGGTCTCTGTCACATTATGTAATTACACAGACAGGCAGGTGTGATACTTAACACATGACGTGTTATGATGTCTGTTGATTGCAAAATGTTATACACAAAAAATGAGCATGTATTTACAAAACCCAACATCTCTATATATACACACACAATGAGCCGTGCATGAGGGCGGCATCTGCAAATGAACCAGCCGTTACACTTGAGTGCACACCCACCTGCTCTGACTGGGTTCGGTATCACGGCTGCTTCGTTTCTTGGGAAGTAAACCCAAGTACAAAATATTGCACTTTTGATTTGCGATTGTACGCTTATAATTTTGTTTATATGTTTTTGTCATAACCAGCGATGTATATTATATGTCATGAATAAGTGATACTTGTGTTTTAATTATGTTTGATTTTTTGGTTGCATGTGACCTTTAAGGTAGCCAAAGATGATATTGCATGAAAACATGTTTAATGAAGGAAAATGTCCCGCATGTTACACAATGCCAACAAATGTGTGGCTAAGAAGCAGTCTGATCATCCGTGAAAACGGGTATCTGACCAAGACTGAAAGTTCGAAGCTTCAGAGAAATTGTTGAAGGCTGCTCAGTGGTACAGATAATTTCTGTCAAACTGACATCTTCAACCCAATCACAATGTATCTGCCTGTGAGGTCATAAGTCGTTTGCAAATGCTTCCCCAATGTGACAGACGGCATTGTGACGATTACACATCAAGCAGACATTTTAATGTCTCAAGTGTTCACAGGGTCACTTTTGAGTAGGGTGAAGTAATGTCTCTGCAGTTAAGAGATAATGGTTTTACTGTTTTGGAACAGTGTTGACCACCTGCATGTTCCTGGGAAGCTGATTCAGCCGTATGGTATTGATTCCATGCCATGCTCGTCGCTTCGGTTGATACCAAAGATGTTTGCATTGTGTTGGTGACCCAAAAGTCACCAATCCTTAACTGTTTAGTTGTCAGATGACATCTTTGATACTGAGGAGCATGAGTGCATTCAGTTGCATATAGTGGCCATGGTGCTGTCTAATAATGATGTGCAATGTTAGTCACAATAAATCCTAACACAGGTTTTCTCTTGCCCATGATTACATGTCTGTTCATACTTTGTGGAAGATCCTATGGGGTTAACCAATTATAATGCACTGGGAGATTTCAGTCTGGTTGCTTTTTGATCACATTGAATTGAAGGGGAATTGATGGACATCAACTTTGTAATATGATGAACATTTCAGAGTACATTACCTCATTACTTCATCAGGTGGAGGATTAAGGACATACTCTGAAACGTTGTTCCTCATTACAGAAGTTCATGTCCATACGTTCCCTCATTTGCATATGAATGCCATTCAAAGCCTTTAAACGTTTAGTTCTATGAATTAAATCAGTTCTGGTTTTGCATACATGAAACTAGTCTTTTCGGCATGGTCTGACATTTCTGCATGCTAGTTACAGGTTTCAAAGTGACTCTAAATGGAACGTGAAGATACTTGTTTCTTTCCAGAAATGTTGGTTAGGGGTATTTTATATCACCTGGAAATGCTAGAGTCATGGTTTTAAACTGAGAATTCAAACAAGTACATTCTAAAGAAAGTTTCTTGTGCATGAACTACAATTTTACATGTATAATGTAGTACATTTTGTACACAAATGCATTTAAGCAGCTTTCCTTACTTTCTTTCTCCCTCTTTGTAACAGGTATGTTGGCAAGTTCATCCCTAGGAAAGAGCGAATCGCCCTCCTTGGAGACAAGATGAAACGCTTCAACAATGTTTACATCAAGAACTTCAAAGACGCGTTAGATGATGACAAGATTAGGGAATTGTTTGATCCATGTGGCAAGATCATGAGTGCCAAGGTATGACCTTTTACAAAAACGCTCGGTTAATCTCAACTTTTGATATGTTACAAGTCACCTGACAATAAATTCACCAAAGTTCATAATGAATAGGCAAACTTTTGTCTGTAATTGTTTGAAATAGCTCAAGCAACATTTTGCCTCGCATGGTAAATTATCACTAATTATAACCTATTTCCTACTGTGTGAAGGATATTCTGCATCCGCTTATTGAAGTTACATGACATAAACAGGTGTGCATTTAACCTTTGGGAATCCGTATTTACACTACACTTAACTCTCCTTCTATAGTTGACACATTGAAAGTAATATAAAAAGCTCAGGTTCACAATTAGTTTTGATGTGAATGATTAGTTAAATATTTGCAATTGTCTTCTTCAGCAAACCCCACAGTTTAACGAGATGTTCCAGCCAACTGGAGCAGGTTACTTTGTGCCCACCATGCCCCAAGCCCATCGTGGATTCTTTGCACCAACACAGATGCCCCAGGTCAGAGCCAGTCCCAGGTGGCAGACACAAGTCCGACCCATGCAGCCAACTGCTGGTGAGTTGAAATGTTGAGCCAGTTGACCCTTCTATTGTAAAAAGCTTGTAGGAGCATTTCAGAAGTCTTTATTTTTTCTTATCCTGACTCATGATCTTTTGCTTATCTCCCTTTCCCTTGCGAATGGTAGTGGAACACTTGAATCCCTTGATGTTCCTGAAGCGGACGTAAAACTACACTCACCCACGAGTTACCTCCCTTTTGCTCTTTCCCGCGCAAACAGTCATGTGGCCAGCCTTACTTGTCACTCTCTCCCTTTTCATAGGAATAACCAAGCGTATCGGCACCTATCTGCAGCATCGAGGTCTACGCAGTTCTGGTTATCTGGATGACAGCATACAGGTTCTTCAAAGTGCCAATCAATTAGACAGCAGCTGAACTTCACAATTAAGTTGCTCACGCAACTAGGATGGCTAGTGAACCTGATGAAGTTGGAGTTAGAATCAAACAAGATCTTCAATTGCTGGGAATAAGAATTATCACAACACAGAATTGAATTGTGGCCCCAGAAGATCATTTGGTCAAGATACAAGCCATGATTCCACAAGCAGTCATCTCTCCTTTAACACTATGAACATGGCAATGTCTACTCTGTCTACTAACCTCGGCGCAAGACTTGACTCGCACAGGAAGGTTACAACTAAGGCCGCTGCAACAAAACATCTGGACAGCGTTGACCCTATCTTGCTGCCAGACAATCTTAAGAGGTACCTACTTTGGTGGACCCACAGGTCGAACGTCTGCGGAGGGACCTATTTACAAGAGCCGGCCTTTGACACACATCTCTACATAGACCCATTGATACAAGGTTGGGGTGCACATCTCAACAATCTAGTTGCATCAAGGAAGTGGTCCAAAACAGAGCAGCATCTTCACATCAATCTGCTGGAGATGAAAGCTGTGATCAACACTTTACAACTATGGTCGAGCTTGCTGATCAACAGAATGCTGATGGTCGACTCTACAGTGTCTCCATAAATCGGCAAGGATCTACAAGATCACCAAGCCTGCTACAGCTCACATTCCAGTGTTTGACATCACGGAGGAGGCAAACATCTGGATAAAGGTGTGTCACATACCCGGAGCCAAGAACGTGCTTGCAGATGCTCTCTCCCGACCACTGCACCCGTCTCCTACGGAATGGATGCTCCATCCAGAAGCATTTCGGCTCATCATAAGGGAAATAGGATGCCCATGCATAGACCTGTTTGCCACGAGGTTCAACAAACAACTACAGACATTTGTCTCACCAGTTCCAGATCCTCAAGCCTGGGCAACAGATGCACTGAGCATATCATGGGAAGAACTAAACGCTTATGCGTTTCCACCACTGATATTACTACCGAAAGTACTGTTGAAGATCAAACAGACGCAGGCGCTACAACTGACTTTGGTCGCGCCATACTGGCCAGCGAGAGTATAGTTCCTAGACCTAATAGAAGATCTCGGAAGTCCAACAATCAAGTTACCAGATTGGCCGAACCTACTCATACATCCGCACACCAAGCAAGTCCACGGGACCCAACACTGTTCCAGCTACACGTGTGGACCGTATCAAAACATGTTTGAAGAAGAGAGGATACTCCGCTAGGGCAGCCAAGGCAGTAACACTAGCGTTACGTAGATCTACTCGTATCCTGTATAATGACAAGTGGCTGAAGTTTGAGACTTCAGCAAGGCGGAAAGGCTTCATTGCTATGAAAGTTACTCATCCTTAAGTGGCGGAATACCTGTGTCATCTTAGGCAGACTAGACATCTGAAGGGTTCGACATTATCTACATACCTCGATGCCATCAGTACAGTGGTTACCATGAAAACAGGCATCAAGTTGATGAAAGTACCAGAATTACTTGCTCTGCTGAGATCTTTTAAACTGGAGGACCAGCAAAAGAAGTTCAGAGCTCCGGCCTGGGATCTGAATGTAATTCTACGGCATCTTACAAGTGATGCCTACGAACCTCTAGACCAGACTACCTTCGTGTTGCTGACACAGAAGACTCTGTTCCTGCTTGCGCTAGCCACGGCAGCTTGAATATCAGAGATACACACGCTGGACTTTGGTCGAACCAGATTCGACAAGGGGCAACATGCTGCAGTTCATCTAGGACTTAGATGGGACTTCATTACCAAGAACCAACCACCTGGTCAGCCAGATAGACAGTTCCACGTACCAGCGCTATCTACAATCCTCGGACCAGAGAATATAGAGGACCTATTCTTGTGTCCGGTCAGCGCCCTGAAGATATATCTTCAAAAGACTTAAGACAAGGAGACGAAAATGCAAGCGCCTGTTCATCCCATTATCCACAGAGACATCAGCTGAAGTCTCAAGAATGGACGATATCATTTTAGATGAGAGCCGTTATATTGAGAGCCTACAAAGCAGCAGGACTAGAACCTCCAAGAGCTTCCAACTCACACGAAGTCAGAGCACTGGCATCAACACTAGCTCTGCATGGGAATTGCTCTATATCAGCAATTATGGAGGGCTGCTTTTGGAAGTCGGACATGGTGTTTGCCAACCACTACCTCTGAGACATAGCCACCGAAGACGTCTCAGGCATTCACCAATTTGGGCCTCTCGTTGTAGCACAGCAACTAACGGTTCCTCAAAGGCGCTGAGTTGGAAAATATCACCCTTTATCACGTTGACTTGTTGATAACTTTTACTAAGGAAAAGTATTAGTTTGAAAGTCCATGCACACAGTCTAGGACAGACTAGCATCAGTGATTAAAGATGCTGTACGGGTAAGGATCTTACCTGTACGTGAAGGGGTCGCAACTCATTTATGACAAAGATCTTATCTTAATCTATGGGTTGTTATAGATATCTAGTAAAAAGAAGATACTAGTATATCTTAAGCCACATGAATCAAGATAATTCAACTTGTCTGAGATGGAAGTAAGACAAGAAAGTGGTCCTCCCGAGTTATAAAGAAAGTTGGAAGAATAGGATCACGGAAATGCCATTTCGCAGTTCCCATGGGGGGATACAGGATGTATCTAAACCTGCCCGCTTGAAACACTTTGGATTTCACAGCAGATCCAAGTGCATGGGCAGAAAAATCAGGAGAGAGTGACAAGTAAGGCTGGTCACATGACTGTTTGCGTGGGAAAGGGCAAAAGGGGAGGTAACTCGTGGGTGAGTGTATTTTTACGTCTGCTTCGGGAACTTCAAGGGCTTCAAGTGTTCCACTACCATTCGCAAGGGAAAGGGAGATAAGCAAAAGATCATGAGTCAGGATAAGTATAAAAATATCAATTTTACTTGAAAAATTACATTTTTCGTCTCCAAGAAATTGGGTATGTGCTGAATGTACAGAAGTATTTGTTAGACTAAACATTAGTTGATCCAGTTTTAATGATGTAGCTAAACCTGTTATTGAACATTGTACACTTGCTTGTGTAACAAGTTATAAGACTGTTCACAGGAATTCTAATGAGTCACTTCTGAACTTTGCTATAGTTTGGGTTACATGGAAGTAGTCTCCACCTGTTATGAAACATTTAAAGAAGTGCTTTAAAGAAGTGCTGTAAATTAACTACCCTGCAAAAACTGACCTGTTGCTGTTTGCAGGTTTCCAAGGCATGCCTGCCAGTGGCCAGATGCGCACCACTGCCCTACGAGCTGGTCAGCCAGCTGTCCGTGCAGGTGTCAATGCCCGGCCAATCACTGGACAGTCTGGTGCAGTGCCAACCAATCCCAATGCTCGCATGGCTGCGATGGGCCCCAGTATGGGCAACCGACCAACAGCTGCTGCTCCAGCGTTGCCCAACGCCCCCACCAGACAGGGATTCAAGTTCAACACCCAGATGCGCAATCCCCCAACAGCTGTACCACAGTCACAGGTCATGCAGCAGGTAGCTTTAAATTTCAGCTTGTCTTCATATTTTATTGCACAAGAGTAGGCATCCTTCAATTTTAAAGACTATACTTCTAGGCTTTTAGAGTGATTTCAGTCAATCAGAACCTCAATTGTGTTCAAATGTAAGATTTGTTATCTTTGTGATAATGTTAGAGCCACATCACTGCTTTTAGTAGTAATATTTGACCTACATGTCTTCAAGTGTCTGAAACATAGTTCAGTAGAGCTTTCTGCGTTACACTTGACTGAAACATGGCTCAGATGTTTTCGAGACATCTTTCTGTTGAAATTTTGTAGTTGGCTGTTGTAATACTATGGTTTATATCCCAACATCTATTCAACCACAAGTTTTTATGTTATGTCCTCTGTGTGATGCAATAGAACTAATGTATGAACTAAACAATCTTTCAAGATGGAAGTTTAGGCACTACAATACTGTTTTGAGGTTATGGGAAGATAAGTTGCTAACAGGTCTTCATTCCTCCTGTTACAGCCCCAGCAGTCGGTTGTCATCCCAGTGCAGGAGCCTCTGACAGCCTCCATGTTGGCTGCTGCCCCACCACAGGAACAGAAGCAGATGCTAGGAGAGAGGCTGTTCCCTCTCATCCAGGGGATGTACCCCGAGCTTGCTGGAAAAATCACTGGCATGTTGCTCGAGATCGACAACTCAGAACTTCTTCATATGTTGGAGTCATACGAGTCTCTCAAGGCAAAGGTAGGTGGAGCAAAGAAATTATCTCTGTATGTGTACTACCATTCTCTTCCCACAGAGGTTACTCCTGTCATATCTTCCTACGTAACCTCTGTTCTAATACGGCCCTTTCATGGTGTGAGCGTTCAAGACTCGTGATTGGAGGCAATCAGATTTAGTTGTGCAATCAGCGACGTTGTTTCAGAAGTGATCATTCGCAAGGCCTCGGTAATTTCCGTATACTTTGAGAAAACTAAACCTCTTCCCCTGCGCGAAGCGCAAACGTTTCTAGACAGAACTCAGTCATGTTATTGCGGATCAGTGGCGTCTCCATCGCCCTCGTTGACAACGGACAAGCTAGCCATTAAACATCTTGTGTGTAACATCAACACAAGTCCCCGGCAGATGGGGGATATTTGTGGCCTCACATTTGCTTGTGTTAGTCAAGTTGAATCTAAGTCGATTTAACATGTGTTCTGATTGGATAGAAAGAAGGGAGATAATTCGTGTTTGCGATCTTTTGCCGCTAGGGGATTTTACGAGAACCGGGAAATATGGCCGTATTAGAACTGAGGTTCGTAGGAAGATATGACAAGTAACCTCTGTGGGAAGAGAATGGTGTACTACTAAACACCTGCAATTGCAAGACTGTTGCAATATCCACCAGACATAATTACCTCAGTGAAATAACAGAATTGAGGGTTTACGTTTGAGTACAGTATTTTTCAGATTTATTGTCTTGTAATCCTTTTTGAGTGAATTTTCTGTAAAACTGGATACAGTATCGGATTGATATGTTTGTAATTTCCTGTCTTGATAAGATCATACTTGGCTAAGCACTGAGAATGAAAACGGCTTTCAAAATATATTGGCTATAGATTGTTTCTGATATAGAATAGGTTGATGCTGTCAATGAGTGTTTTCTCTAATGTTAGAGATGCTAATCAGTATGTTATTTTGTCCCCAGGTTGATGAGGCTGTTGCTGTATTGCAAGCCCACCAGGCCAAAGAAGCTGCTGCCATGTCCAAGGGCGACAAGTGGCAGGTTGTCTTCATTTTTTATTGCACAAGAGTAGGCATCCTTCAATTTTAAAGACTATACTTCTAGGCTTTTAGAGTGATTTCAGTCAATCAGAACCTCAATTGTGTTCAAATGTAAGATTTGTTATCTTTGTGATAATGTTAGAGCCACATCACTGCTTTTAGTAGTAATATTTGACCTACATGTCTTCAAGTGTCTGAAACATAGTTCAGTAGAGCTTTCTGCGATACATTTGACTGATTCATGGCTCAGATGTTTTAGAGACATCTTTCTGTTGAAATGTTGTAGTTGGATGTTGTAATACTATAGTTTATATCCCAACATCTATTCAACCACAAGTTTTTATGTTATGTCTTCTGTGTGATGCAATAGAACTAATGTATGAACTAAACAATCTTTCAAGATGGAAGTTTAGGCGCTACAATACTGTTTTGAGGTTATGGGAAGATAAGTTGCTAACAGGTCTTCATTCCTCCTGTTACAGCCCCAGCAGTCGGTTGTCATCCCAGTGCAGGAGCCTCTGACAGCCTCCATGTTGGCTGCTGCCCCACCACAGGAACAGAAGCAGATGCTAGGAGAGAGGCTGTTCCCTCTGATCCAGAGGATGTACCCCGAGCTTGCTGAAAAAATCACTGGCATGTTGCTCGAGATCGACAACTCAGAACTTCTTCATATGTTGGAGTCATACGAGTCTCTCAAGGCAAAGGTAGGTGGAGCAAAGAAATTATCTCTGTATGTGTACTACCATTCTCTTCCCACAGAGGTTACTCCTGTCATATCTTCCTACGTAACCTCTGTTCTAATACGGCCCTTTCATGGTGTGAGTGTTCAAGACTCGTGATTGGAGGCAATCAGATTTAGTTGTGCAATCAGTGACGTTTCAGAAGTGATCATTCGCAAGGCCTCGGTAATTTCCGTATACTTTGAGAAAACTAAACCTCTTCCCCTGCGCGAAGCGCAAACGTTTCTAGACAGAACTCAGTCATGTTATTGCGGATCAGTGGCGTCTCCATCGCCCTCGTTGACAACGGACAAGCTAGCCATTAAACATCTTGTGTGTAACATCAACACAAGTCCCCGGCAGATGGGGGATATTTGTGGCCTCACATTTGCTTGTGTTAGTCAAGTTGAATCTAAGTCGATTTAACATGTGTTCTGATTGGATAGAAAGAAGGGAGATAATTCGTGTTGCGATCTTTTGCCGCTAGGGGATTTTACGAGAACCGGGAAATATGGCCGTATTAGAACTGAGGTTCGTAGGAAGATATGACAAGTAACCTCTGTGGGAAGAGAATGGTGTACTACTAAACACCTGCAATTGCAAGACTGTTGCAATATCCACCAGACATAATTACCTCAGTGAAATAACAGAATTGAGGGTTTACGTTTGAGTACAGTATTTTTCAGATTTATTGTCTTGTAATCCTTTTTGAGTGAATTTTCTGTAAAACTGGATACAGTATCGGATTGATATGTTTGTAATTTCCTGTCTTGATAAGATCATACTTGGCTAAGCACTGAGAATGAAAACGGCTTTCAAAATATATTGGCTATAGATTGTTTCTGATATAGAATAGGTTGATGCTGTCAATGAGTGTTTTCTCTAATGTTAGAGATGCTAATCAGTATGTTATTTTGTCCCCAGGTTGATGAGGCTGTTGCTGTATTGCAAGCCCACCAGGCCAAAGAAGCTGCTGCCATGTCCAAGGGCGACAAGTGGCAGGTTGTCTTCATTTTTTATTGCACAAGAGTAGGCATCCTTCAATTTTAAAGACTATACTTCTAGGCTTTTAGAGTGATTTCAGTCAATCAGAACCTCAATTGTGTTCAAATGTAAGATTTGTTATCTTTGTGATAATGTTAGAGCCACATCACTGCTTTTAGTAGTAATATTTGACCTACATGTCTTCAAGTGTCTGAAACATAGTTCAGTAGAGCTTTCTGCGTTACACTTGACTGAAACATGGCTCAGATGTTTTCGAGACATCTTTCTGTTGAAATGTTGTAGTTGGATGTTGTAATACTATAGTTTATATCCCAACATCTTTTCAACCACCAGTTTTTATGTTATGTCTTCTGTGTGATGCAATAGAACTAATGTATGAACTAAACAATCTTTCAAGATGGAAGTTTAGGCGCTACAATACTGTTTTGAGGTTATGGGAAGATAAGTTGCTAACAGGTCTTCATTCCTCCTGTTACAGCCCCAGCAGTCGGTTGTCATCCCAGTGCAGGAGCCTCTGACAGCCTCCATGTTGGCTGCTGCCCCACCACAGGAACAGAAGCAGATGCTAGGAGAGAGGCTGTTCCCTCTGATCCAGAGGATGTACCCCGAGCTTGCTGAAAAAATCACTGGCATGTTGCTAGAGATCGACAACTCAGAACTTCTTCATATGTTGGAGTCAAACGAGTCTCTCAAGGCAAAGGTAGGTGGAGCAAAGAAATTATCTCTGTATGTGTACTACTAAACACCTGCAATTGCAAGACTGTTGCAATATCCACCAGACATAATTACCTCAGTGAAATAACAGAATTGAGGGTTTATCTTTTGAGTAAAGTATTTTTCAGATTTATTGTCTTGTAATCCTTTTTGAGTGAATTTTCTGTAAAACTGGATACAGTATCGGATTGATATGTTTGTAATTTCCTGTCTTGATAGATCATACTTGGCTAAGCACTGAGAATGAAAACGGCTTTCAAAATATTTTGGCTATAGATTGTTTCTGATATAGAATAGGTTGATGCTGTCAATGAGTGTTTTCTCTAATGTTAGAAATGCTAATCAGTATGTTATTTTGTCCCCAGGTTGATGAGGCTGTTGCTGTATTGCAAGCCCACCAGGCCAAAGAAGCTGCTGCCATGTCCAAGGGCGACAAGTGATCTCTCATCACTTCCTCCGTTTGTCATTTCTGCACCGTCAAGCTAGACAGGGAACATCTGGACAAAAGACAATTAAGCTGTAAAAAGAAGCTGGATTGTAAATTGTAGCTGTTTGTGCAAGCAAGATTTGTCTTGCATGATTTTGTCTGTCCTTTTGATGGTGCAGAATTGCTTTCTTACAGTTTGAAAAAAAAACTAGAAAAAACTAGCAAAATATGTTAAAATAAGTACAAAATAGGAGAGTTCTCCTGTTTTCACTGTTAAAAAAACATCAGTTGCAGTCAGGTACTGATAGATTATTAACTCTATCCATAACTCTGCTGTTATGACATACAATGTGTGTAATAGCGATATAAAAATAGCAACAGACTAAAAAAATCTTTCTATTGTGTACTATAGTGTTTGTTCAGTTCTTTGCTGTATTGTATGTTTGTCAAATTTCTTTGAATGACTAAACCATTGCTTGTCAGTTGAGTTGTGTGGAAGCATTTAAGAGAACATGAGAAGAGGGACTACTGTAATGGATGCAGTTAATAATCTATTGAGTCTGTTAAACCAATGTTTTATTTTACAACAAATAAACCGTTTCATTGAATTATGTTTTGTTGTTAATAACAAAGGATTGAACTGTTTCACTGATAAATTCTGACATGGTTTTAAGCATGGCAAGATGTAATCACTGTCGGTAGATGCCAACTTTACACAAGATTGCTGCAAAACTTGGTGTGCTAACTGCGTTATGATAGTTTTAAAGTTGTATTTGTTTCCGAAAGGTAACATAATTGTAATAAGTACTTTCATAGCACCTCATCCACCTCACTCGGGGACATGCTCTTAGCACACGATACAATCTGATTGTTACCCATGATAACCCAAGCTGTCTGTGAGGCTCAAGAAAGTTAAGTCACATGACTTGTCCCACCAGGTACCCATTTTTCTGCCTCAGTGAATGGTTAAGTTTTGAACAAACTCACTTGCCCAAGGTTGGACTGCATGTATCAGTGGGGCAGGACTCTGGAGTCAAGCCGCCAAACATGGTCACCCATCCAAGGATTCTTTATGCTCAACATTGCTTAACTTTTAACTGATTTGTGACCTGGGGCTCCTTTCACGAAGCAACCTTGACTAAAGTTAACCTTAACTCCCATTCTTTAACATTGTGACTTACGACCACCTTAGTGCTTTGTGAAAGGAGGCCCTGAGCTCTATGCACAACACCACCACTTATGATAACTATTGGTCTGCAGATAATTGCTAAATATTGTTAGAAGTTGACTTTGTTTAGTTTGGTGCAGTAATCACTCCAGCTTATTCTACAGTGCACATTACACATCACATTTGTATCTCGATGTATCCATATGTACTGCAGGCATGTCATGATGCCCCAACTGGTTCTGCACATCTTGACGCTCAGTCTCTGAATATATATAATTTGAAGGTAAATAATCGCATATAAATTGAAAAGGAGCCCCAGTGAGATGGATAAATTAAGATCCTGAGGAAACCTACATTTGCTCTGAATTAGAGCTTTAGCATTGCATGGAGGGCCAGGCAACATGGGGAAAATAATGTGGTTTAGGGATTGCGTTTTGCAGGGGGTATTAAAATGGACTCCGTCAGTCCGTGCACATTTGTCTTTTCTGGAGCAGAACTCTAAAACCGTTCACTATTTCTTCACCAAACTTGGCACATACATAGATCTGGTGGTGTACTGGTGCCTTTTGGTAGTTTTGGAATTCTGAATAAAACATTTTTGGCGTTTCCATGGCAACAAGTTCGACTTAGAATGAAATTAGTGGTAGTGCTCTTTTCCGGAGCAGAACTCTAAAACCGTTCACTATTTCTTCACCAAACTTGGCACATAGATAGATCTGGTGGTGTACTGGTGCCTTTTGGTAGTTTTGGAATTCTGAATAAAATATTTTTGGCTTTTCCGTGGCAACAAGTTTGACTAAAACAGAAACTAGTGGTAGTGCACTTTTCTGGAGCAGAACTCTAAAGCCGTTCACTATTTCTTCACCAAACTTGGCACATACATAGATCTGGTGGTGTACGGGTGCCTTTTGGTAGTTTTGGAATTCTGAAAAAAATATTTTTGGTGTTTCCATGGCAACAAGTTTGACTTAGCCTGAAATTGGTGGTAGTGCTCTTTTCTGGTGCAGAACTCTAAAACTGTTCACTATTTCTTCCCCAAACTTGGCACATAGATAGATCTGGTGGTGTACTGGTGCCTTTTGGTAGTTTTGGAATTCTGAATAAAATATTTTTGGTGTTTCCATGACAACAAGTTTGACTTAGCCTGAAATTGGTGGTAGTGTTTTTTCCGGAGCAGAACTCTAAAACCGTTCACTATTTCTTCCCCAAACTTGGCACATAGATAGATCTGGTGGTGTACGGGTGCCTTTTGGTAGTTTTGGAATTCAGAATAAAATATTTTCGTCGTTTCCATGGCAACAAGTTTGACTTAGCCTGAAATGAAAACTCTGGTTCACTATTTCTTCCGGAGCAGAACTCTAAAGCCCATTCACTATTTCTTCACCAAACTTGGCACATAGATAGATCTGGTGGTGTGCTGGTGCCTTTTCACCAAACTAGTTTTGTCTTTTTACGTGGCAACAAGTTTGACTCAAACAGAAATTAGTGGTAGTGCACTTTTCCGGAGCAGAACTCTAAAGCCGTTCAATGTTTCTTCACCAAACTTGGCACATAGATAGATCTGGTGGTGTACGGGTGCCTTTTGGTAGTTTTGGAATCTTGAATAAAATGTTTTTGGCATTTCCATGGCAACAAGTTTGACATAGACTGAAATTGGTGATAGTGCTCCTTTCTGGAGCAGAACTTTAAAAACCTTTCAATACTCTCCTTCCACTTTTCTTTATACACACCTAAATATTTGACATAATCATAACTCGTAGACAATCATGAAGAGTATTTTGTCATTGCGGGGGATATTGATGACTTTGTCTTCTTGTTGTAGTAAATCTGGCAAGTTCACTGGCAATGTGGTTGTCATCACAGGCATATGATGTAAACAAATACACAGAAGCAGACATTGAAATATACACTTTATACTTTATTAAACACAGGTTTTTCACACATTTTGACATGATTCTGTTCTTAAACGTGTATTTTTATTTGGAGAAATTGTTGGAAGGGGGAGGAGGAGGAGGGATGCAACTGTGATAAATGTAGCGCTTGACGAACCCACAAGGCAAGAGTAAAAGAGGTCCAAAACAGACCTGGAGACTGGAAAAGGATATATATGATGTATATCACAAAGAGTAAAGGACCCAGAACTGATCCCTGTGGTACTCCACATGTAAGATTGGCACAGCAAGATTGTTTGTCTCCTATGATAACATGCTGACTTCGGTGTCAAGATAAGATTGGATCCAGGTAAGAGGAACACCAAGAATGTTCATCTCATCCTTGACTCGTTGGAGAAGCTGTTGATGATTCACTGTGTCAAACTCCACTGAGAGATCCAATAATGTAAGAGAAGCCATATGGCCCTTGTCAACCTTGGCCCTCTGGAAAAGGAACTGAGTTCATTCAGTACCCGCAATAATGCTCTCCCGGTACTGTGATTGGTGAGATAAGCAGACTGAAAGTCATCCAGAAGTTTATTATTCACCAAATGTTCTCTCAACCTTGCATGTGCTGCCTTCTCCTATGAAAGAAAAGTAAGATTAGATACAGGTCTATAATTTCGATCCAGGTTGTTCTTCTTTATAAGAGGTGTGATAACTGCCTTCTTGAGGACGTCAGGGGAAACACCCGGAGACAAGCTAGTGTTTATATTTTTCCTTATCCTGACTCATGCTTATTGTTTGTCTCCCTTTCCTTCCGAATGCTAGTGGAACACTTGAATCCCCTTTTGAAGCTCCCTTCAAAACAGCAGACGTAAAATCACTTACCAGGAGTCATCTCCCTTCTCAGGTTTTGGCGGGAAACGGCGCCACCTGTCTCCAAAGCTCCTCACTCTCTCCTGATTCGCCAGAGTGGGCGGTTGTGAGAGCACCTGGTCCCCTATACGGCATTATATCCTTTTATTATTTAGGCCTTTCTTCTAAATTAGCTGTATAAGGCTTTAGTTAACATTTACCTACAATATTCTACAGAATTATTTTTCAAATTTCTCTGTTTTATCACGTTTTTACGTGACTGTTCAGATTGTTTACAATTGATGAAATCTTGTTCTGGTTGTAGGTATCGATTGTCTGCTGTTGATCCACATAACCTATGTCCTAATTGCAAGCCCGTATGTTTATCTGACTCTCGTTGTCAGTTGTGTTTTCACCTGTCTGATATTGCATTTTACAAATATTCATATTATCTGTCTAGACGTGCAAAGGACAGGTCCAGACGAGATTTACACGACATGTCTAAACCGGCTAAGCTTGCAGAGGACCGGCAGTTGGTGTCTGCGCAGATTCACCATTCCAGTGGTCTACCGGGGTCGTCTACAGAGGAGGTTGCTGCCGTAGACAACGCTGGCTCGAGGAAGAGGTCATCTACATCTGATAATTCCTCATCGCAGTCTAAGAAGACTAGGGCATCATCTTCCCAGAGGAAGAAGTCAGCTACAACTAAGACTTCGTCGAAGTCTCCACATAGGGCAATGCAGAAAACGAGGTCTTTTTCAGCTGAGATCGTCCCTCTGGAAGAAATAGATGTCTACGATGAGCCGCCCATCCTCATCCCTGAGATCACATCTAAGAAGAAGACGAAGGCGTCTTCTACCGTGACCACACAGGACAACCTTGCAACGCAGACGTTCGGCAGAGAGGGTCAACGCCCTTCGGAAGAAGCCTCATCCGTCTCAGATGCGTTGTCGTTACAACAGACAACGCAGACCTTCAACCCGGGCGCCTTTATGCAGCAATTTACCCAACAGATGTTGGATCTGATGGAACAACGGTTCGCACGCGAGAGAGCTGCGACGAAGACGACGTCTGCGACGAACCAGAGTGAAGGTCAACTGAGCTGCACACCATGTCCGTTGGGAACCAACGTCCTGCAGAGCGTACAGGAAGATTCCAGCTCTACTACAGCGTCTTCACGAATATCTGGCAGCCATACCAACGTGGAACCTGCACCGACTCCGTTCGGCGGAAGGACTAGACGTTCGCCGAACCTACTTGGATCATCATCGACTTCAGATACGGACGTTCGTCACGAACCTGCACGTAACGGTTCGTTACCAAGGAGAAGAGAATCAACACCCGTAAGAAGGCATAGAAATTCGTCACAAGACTCCAACCCTCGACAAAGCCGTTCACCTACACGCAGGTTCGCACGAAGGCGCGCACGATCATCTCTATCTCCACGCAGGTCCCCACGAAGGAAGTCACGAACACATTCACGAACGTATGGTTCGCCACGAAGGTCACCACGCAGGTCGCCTTACAGATCGTCTTACAGATCACCTTACAGATCTCCTCGTTCAAACGACACTAGAAGACATCTATCCTCAGAGCAGGAAGATGACGACGGTTTGGAACTCGCATCACCCTCTAAGGATACCAACAAAGCACTATTGTTCTTGATGTTGAATGATGATATAGAAACACTCACGATGCCACCTATCGACCC